CTGTGTGTGTCACTGTCCCCGTGTGTGTCACTGTCCCTGTGTGTGTGTCACTGTCCCTGTGTGTGTGTCACTGTGTGTGTCACTGTGTGTGTGTCACTGTCCCCGTGTGTGTGTCACTGTGTGTGTCACTGTCCCCTCCGTGTGTGTCACCATCACAGGACCCTTTTTGGGGTGCCCAGGGTGCCCCTCAGGGAGGTTTGGGGCGCCCACACGGCCACGGTTCATATTTGGGACGTGTCTGGTGCCCACCTGGAGTGCTTTGGGTGCCTCTTGGGGATTTTGGGGGTGCCCACCTGCCCAGGTGCCCATTCCAGGCTCCCTCAGGTGCACCCCCCAGCCCTTGGTGTCCCCTCCCCGACCCCGTGGGACATTCCCGGTGTCCCTGTGTCCCCGCAGAGCTCCGGGAGGCCGTGGAGGAGGTGCTGCCCGACCTGCAGCGCGACGGCGTCCGCGTCTTCTACCTGAGCCAGGTGTCGCCCACGCCAGGTGTCGAGGCCCTGCTCGGTGCCATCGAGGCTGCCCCCGACGAGCCCCCGCCCGCCTGGCACCGCGCCGGCGTCACCGCCAACTCCAAGGCCATGTACATCTACACCTCGGGCACCACAGGTGAGCTGGGGCACCTGCCCGGGCTGGCCTGGACCAGACGGTGTGCGTGGAGAGGAGGGGGCTGGGGGGGTCTTTTCTCCAGCCCAGATCCACCTGGGCCAGGTGTGTTGTGGGCAAGGCAGCACAGGTGGCTTGGAGGGGTCTGGGGGTTCTTTTTCCAGCCCTGACCATCACGGCTCCACCTGGGCCAGGTGTGTCCTGGCTGTGTCCATGGGAGGGTCCAAACCTGTGCCTGGTTTGTCCTCCTTGGGGTGGGGTTGGACCTCTCTGGTCAACCCTCGGTTCAAGCCAGACCCAACCCCTGAGCATCACGGGTCCACCTGGGCCAGGTGTGTCCTGGCTGTGTCCATGGGAAGGTTGGTCATCACTCCCTGGATGACCACCTGGACGAGGTTCCTCGTGGCTTCTCCAAGAAGGGACAAAGACCCCCAGGACCCCAATCCCCACCCGGTGTCCCCTCAGGGCTGCCCAAGGCCGCGGTGATCACGGAGATGAAGCTGCTGATGGTGGCCAGCCTGGCCCGCATCTGTGGCCTGCGGGCTGATGACGTCGTGTACACAACACTGCCACTCTACCACTCGGCCGGGCTGCTGGTCGGCATAGGGGGGTGCCTCGATATCGGTAAGAGCCCCCCAAAACACGGGAATGGGCACGGGAGGGGTGGGAGGGATGGATGGATGGATGATGGATGGATGGATGATGGATGATGGATGATGGATGATGGATGGATGATGGATGATGGATGGATGATGGATGGATGATGGATGATGGATGATGGATGGATGATGGATGATGGATGATGGATGGATGATGGATG